TCAAACGCCATCACTAGGTAATAAAGATTGCTGTTTTAACCGTTTTGCTGACGAACGCTGACGTGATGTTCGCAGCAAGTGTCACACACGTCATCTAGCGTGCGAAATTCGTGATCCGCAAGGCGAAAATCGCGGACACGAAAATGTTAAGAAAAGATATACAGTGAGGCTTCTGGTCCATTTTCTTTTCTGTGACTATATTTAAAAAAATTTTGAGTTTAAACTTTCCGCTTGAAATACTCAAATACAGAGCATTTATTGAGCGAAAGTAATATTTATTTAAAAGATTAAAGATCAGAAAAGACTGGGTAACATCCAGGTAAGAATTTTTTTTATGTCGTTTTATTTATAAATAGAGCAATTTTGAAAGGAAATATTTATTATCTTCATTCGTGAATTTTGAGCACATGTTCCAGCTTAAAATTTCAATTTGCTTCGACAATATTTGAATTAAAACAACATTAGTTTTATAAAAAGGCTTACATTTGACTCAGCCTTTATATTAAATGTTGTTTATTGTAATGCCAAATAGTATACTTTGACCTTTGTGTATAGTGTATAGTGCATAGTGTATATGACAGATTGCCAGATTCCAGTGTTTCTTGTATAAAATAATATAGCTTAGCATCTACTCAATTCTCATGGAATTACCCATTTCACTCCAATGAGCCCAATATTCAGCACTTTGTTATTAAATGTTATCTTGCCTAATGCCGGACAATTTTATTTGTAAAGGGAAGTGTCTAGCTAGAGTGCTAGACTCTGCCCATGTTTCATGTTGACATATAACACTTCCTACTTAAGTACTTTGATATTATTATTTAACTCTGACATTTCATGGTAGACAATTTTACTTACCGACTGTGGCATGCTAAATAATTATTACCAATAACACCTATAAAGGAGCAACTTCCTCTTATGTTACCTACTTGAAGTTCTTTGTAGGGGTGTGCAAGATAGAATGTTTTTGCTATCCAGCTACATACAGGATATATGTTGGATAGTTGAAAAATATCCAGCTAGATTCAGAGTATTATTCACATATATAAATGTTTTTTTCTAACCTGTAAAGAAGACCTGAACTTAGCTGCAGCCGAGCTTCGCCCTATTCTTGATGTTACATGATGTTCTTGCTTTTTTCTGCCCAGTCCCCAGCCAAGTTACTGTATGTATATACTTAACACTTTGGCTACCATAGAGACTGCTAACTACAGATTTTTAACTCATTTATTGACAGACCTCTACCTACTGATAAGTAAAATTGTCTGGCATTTATAGACGATAAATACTAAAGTAGGTCTGTAATAGCCTCTGATGTTTCAGCACTTCTACACTTGTTCTCAATTTCTTTTACTAATTATATTTTATTTAAAGACTATTTACATGATATGTTTTAACTTTTTATTATCTATGTTTTAACTACTGGTATTTATAATATATTAAAAAATATTTATAGGCTATATGTATTTGTATACACTTTATTTAATAACTATTCTAACTGTATTAACAGGACATATTTTAACTATTTATTTAATATTTTATTACTATTTTTAATCCACTTGGGCAATATTATATCCACTATTTATTAGCTATTTTAACAAGCTGGGATGTATTTTAACTATTTATTATCTATTTTTAAGCTATATTATCACTATTTTTGAACTATGTATTATCTATTTTTAAACTATATTATCACTATTTTCGAACAATTTATTATCTATTTTTAAACTATATTATCACTATTTTTGAACTATTTATTAGCTATTTTAAACTATATTATCACTATTTTTGTACTATTTATTATCTGTTTTTAAACTATATTATCACTATTTTTTAACTATTTATTATCTATTTTAAACTATAATATCACTATTTTTGAACTATTTATTATCTATTTTTAAACTATATTATCACTATTTTTGAACTATTTATTATCTATTTTAAATAAACTATAATCTCACTATTTTTGAACTATTTATTATCTACTTTTAAACTATATTATCACTATTTTTGAACTATTTATTGACTATTTTAAACTTTGTTGAAACACATTTCACCTATTTATTACATATTTTTTACCTATATTGTCACTATGTTTTAACTATTTCATACATATTTATTAACTATGTCAAAACTAAATATTTTTAATAATTTCCTTAAATAGCTCTATTTTTATCATATTTGAAACCTATTTAATTTCTATTCGAGTACATCAATTAAGTATTTGTTTAGAAATATATCATGAATAGGAAAAAAATATGGTTCCACTTGGATAGGAAAAAAATAGCTTTTCTACCCTAATTTAAATAGGAAAAACCTCGAAAAAAAATAATAGTGAAAATAGGAAATAAATACTTTGATAAATAGGAATTAAATAGCCCAATAAAATAGGAATTAAATAGCAATTAAATAGTGTTTGTTTCTACAAGGGTTATGATCCATTAATAAGAAAAGGAATCACTGTATTCTAAATGAAAAAGTATTTCTATCGATTCAGAGTACCTCTGGTACATGTGTGAGCGACAAGAAATCTTTTGGAACATGCTCACTAATGACACTATAAAGATTGTTTCCATTATTTAGAGTTCTATTGATAATTGATGTATCCCACATGTTTGTAGACTTTATTTAATTGCATAAAATCGCATAGATCGACAGTGAACACAATGTTTACCAGCGTTACTTCCAAATATCGATGCATTACCTTGATTAACCAATTGCATGAGTCGCATTGTGCCCTACTTTATTATTTTACTCTGTCTAACGCCAGATTATTTTACTCTGTCTAACGCCAGACGATTTTACTTGTCAAGGGGAGAGCGCTGGCGCTTAATGGGTTAAACACTGCACAAAGTATTTCATTAACATTGATGGGACCTGGATTTTCGTCCACATTATAATTGAGAGTCTCAATCATGCATTGTGGTATATAAACATTACAGCATAAAATCTCAAATTTGTCAGAGGTAAATAAACTTTGGTTGATTTCAACCAAATATTATTTTCTTCTGTTCATTAGGTAAGTAAACTTTGATTGGTTTCAACCAAATATTATTTTATTCTGTTGTTTTTGTAAAACTTTTTGTCATATTTTTTACGCTTGATCTTAGATCAGATTGCATTTGCGTGAAAGGCCACATACCAAAGTTAAACCTTGCCATTGTGCAGGTAAAAATATCAGACCCATTGCTATTGTGCTGGGGATTAACAATCATTAGTTCAAATTTGTGCGGATTTCTATTGTTCTCCATCTGGTTTTATTTGGGTAAGATTCTTAAAGCAAGGGGAGGGATTTGATATCTCTCCGGGGAAAAGTGGGGTTGATGAATAGAATTGAATTAGTAATTATAAATTAACGGGTTTTATCTACAGAGTGTATAAAAAAAACTGAACCCTTTCAAATTCAAATTATAACGTCTTGTAGTAATTTGACAGCTCTAATTGCTTTAAATTAATGGTTGGATAAGAACACTAGGTCTTGTACTCATGGGACAAAACTCAAAGAAATAAAAATTAGAAAATTTAAAAGAAATACTATATTCCTTGTGTTCTTACCCAACCATTAATTCAAGGCAATTAGAGCTGTCAAATTACTACAATACAGTATAGCGACGAACAAAAATCAACTTCAACAACATTCATACAACAATTGTATTTCGTGACGAAAACTCTATAGTGTAAACGAGTTTAAAATTAAAAGAACCTACTTAAAGGGTTTCAGCAGCATATCCTGTTGCCTGTTGTGTATTTTTCTTCTCTTTTATATTCTTTATTTGAACACAAACTTGGAAAATCGTAGTTTCTCATCTGAGTTGCGCCTCCATTTTGTTTATTTATGTACGTGGCCGGTCGGGCCGGGCAACAATTTTTTACTTGTTGTCCGGCGGGAAACATTGCATTTATCTGAAGCCACGTGACCACAAATCAGCCAATCACGTTTGCATGGTGTTCACGCTAGCTATATAACAAGTACCAGTTGTTCCACTCTAACACGCTACAACTATATCTATTTCTTACCATAAAATACAAACTCAAATTGTTCAAATTAATAGAAGTTAAAAATGCACCGATTAAAAGAACTTCCCGCAGGCATTTCCAGCTGTGCTCTCTTTTCTTCCCTCGTAGAATTTGTCTTTGAACCATCGGCATCGGGTCTTCACTCGCACTGCTATCTTTTTCTTTCCAGCACCTGCGTCCTGCTATAACGTCACAATCCAAAGATTTTGATATTTCAATTTTTAAATTTCTGCAACGATCTTATGTCGCGATCACCAGTCCTCTCCATATAACGAACGTTTGCGGTATGCCTTTCATAAGACATCTTGTTGCTGTGGTAGCCCTTAAACTATGATTGGTAAAATGACCGTGAATACCCGCAGCTTCGCACAATCTATGAACTGTTTGCCCTAACGGGTTATGGCCCATTCCGATTATGTGTAAACCATTCTACAGACAATGTCCTTAATTTTCGTTTGTTCTACATTACTCTTTTCGTAGAGCCTTGTGCATGCACTTGATCATTCACTGCATTTCCTTGTTCTGCCTTGTAAAGTAATTTAGTTCATGCTTATACTGAACAGTCATGCATGTTCATTTAAATTCCTTAATGAGTAGTGGGTGTAAGTATGATTATTTTGTTAAAATCCTTACTAAGTTGCAAACTGTAATGGCCTATGTTATCACGTGGGGGACACGTGACAGGTGGACGGAGAGAAGAGAGAGAACATGGAGACACGAGAACAAAACTAGCTTGTATATTTGATGTTCAAAGAGAATATTATATTGGCGACGAGGATCTATTAACACAAACAACAAAACAACCCAGCGCATGATCTTACTCAAGTCAGAAAGATCAGTACACTCTTAGCTTGTGTTCATATTCAGAAACACCAAGCCGTTCGAAGACGAAAAACGTACGCTAGGCGTTTACACGTGGCGGGAAAGCAAGCAAACAAAACGCTTTAAAACTCTCGATTCAACGGCTAAAAACAGAACAAAACATGGCAACAGCTCTGCCAACATTCCCTTCCTTCGATCCCAACGCGGACCAGGGAGCACCCGGCGTCAGATTTAAGAAATACATCGCTCGTTTTCGAAATTTGATAGTCGCTACAGACATCGATGATCCCAAGCGTCAAAAGGCGCTCCTATTACACTACATCGGTGAAGAAGTCAATGATATCTTTGAAACACTCACAGTCAGTGAACCGGCTGAAGAAGAAACAGTTCTAGACGTCACAATTAAAGCACTATCTGAATACTTTACACCAAAGCAAAACCCTGTATTCGAAGAATATAAATTTCGCAACGCCAAACAAACCCACGACGAAGCTCTTATGACGTACTATACACGACTCAAACAACTTTCCCTCACCTGTGAATTTCACGATGCCGATCGCGAAATCAAATCTCAGATCATCCAACACGGCCGCTCGCAACGACTTCGACGAAAAGCTTTAATCGATCCAACTATAACCCTGGCAAAACTTCTAGAAATGGGTAAAGCGGCGGAGCTAGCCGACTCGCAAGCAGCGAACTTAGAACGAACAGAGAACGTCAGCCATTTCACAACCGGAAGTAGCAAAAACCACAACAAAGCACGCCTCCAATCCCGGAGCCCCGGTACCAGGGTGAAATGTCGTAATTGTGGAGGCACATACCCGCATGAAGGCGGTAAAACTGCTTGCCCAGCATACGGAAAAGAATGTCGCTCCTGTGGAAAACTTAACCACTTTCAGTCCGTATGTCTCCAAGACAGACAACGTTCAAACCCCACCAAACCACGTCAGCGACGCTATCCGCAAACAGCCGAACGACAGGACGTCCGAGCGATGGACAACACCGCAGAAACTGACTACAGCGATGACAGCGACGAAGTTGGCGTGTTCCGAATCAACGTCAACAACATGACTTCGGATCGCAACAAACACCCATTATTTGACGTCACCATCGAGGGAACACTGCTGACCATAATGGCAGACTCTGGTTCCAGTATCAACATTCTGGATGAGCAAGATTACAACAAGCTCTCCCCACGACCGAGCTTGGAGCAAACACGCATCAAAGTTTATCCTTACCAGACCGAGACACCCCTACCCGTCCTTGGGCAATTTACCTCCACCGTCGCATCGGAAACAGTCAACCGTACAGAGACCTTCTATGTTGTGAAAGGAACCAGTGGGTCATTGCTTAGCTGGCGCACTTCTACCGACCTGCAGCTACTCAAAGTCGTAAAGCCCATTACATATCAAAACCTTCCCACCGTTGAACAGCTCACCACCCAATACCAGGACTTGTTCCAAGGACTCGGCAAGTTGAAAGATTACCAGGTTCAGCTTCATATTGACGAAGGTGTACCACCAGTTGCCCAACCACACCGCCGTGTGCCGTTCCATGTGCCCAAACAACATGAGGAACAGCTAAGTCAGGACGAAAAACTGGGTGTAATCGAACGGCGTGGAGGGCCCAACCCCCTGGGTATCGCCTATTGTTGTGGCACCAAAGCCCAAGTCACCCGGAAAGGTCCGTGTATGCGTTGACATGCGTCGTGGAAACACAGCAGTCCAGCGTGAACGCCACATCACACCAACGATCAAGGAAATCATCGCCGATTTGAATGGTGCAAATGTCTTTAGCAAACTCGACCTCAACCAGGGTTACAACCAACTAGAACTAGCCCCGGAATCCAGGTACATTACTACTTTCAGCACCCAACTTGGTCTCATGCGCTACAAGCGACTCAACTTTGGAATATCTAGTGCCGCCGAAATCTTTCTGAACGCCATCCGCGAGAGTCTTGACTTCATCCCGGGCGCAATTAACATCAGCGACGACATACTCGTTTTTGGCAAGACCCAGAAGGAGCATGATCAAGCACTCGCAGCAGTGTTTCAGCGGCTTCGAGAACGCGGGCTGACCTTGAACAAACTCAAGTGCGAGTACAGCAAGAACAGCCTTGAGTTCTTCGGGTACGTTTTTGGTGCAGATGGCAATGGCCCCCGATCCAAAGAAAGTCCAAGATATCCTAAACCTCAAAGCCCCAACGTCAGTCACAGAAGTCCGTAGCCTGCTAGGCATGACCAACTACTGCGCACGATTCATCGATGGATATGCCACAATTACTGAACCTCTGCGAGCCCTTACCCACAAGAACCATGCCTGGGAGTGGATGGACAAGCAAGAACATGCCCTGGCCCAGCTCTGGCATGTGTTTGGCCAATGCACCTGTCACAGCGTGCTTCAACCCTGGGAAAACAACTGAAATCTCTGTTGATGCAAGCCCGGTTGGGCTAGGCGCTATCTTAGCGCAAATCGATCCCACAACCAAAGTCAAGCGTATCATTGCGTATGCCAGCCGGTCTCTGACCACCACCGAGCAACGCTACAGCCAGACTGAGCCCTCGCTGTAGTATGGGCATGTGAACACTTTCACCTCTACATTTACGGCAAGCCAGTCAATGTCTACACAGACCACATGCCCCTCGTTGCTATCTATGGCAATGCAAACTCGAAACCACCTGCTCGTATCGAAAGATGGGCACTCAGACTTCAACCATACCAGACCACCGTGCATTACTGAAAAGGTGAAGAAAATCCTGCAGACTATATGTCTAGGCACACTTCCAGTCACACCGAACTCTGCAGCAGACAGGAAAAAGTTGCTGAAGAGTACATTAACTACATTGCCACAACTTCAACACCAACTGCACTCACCCTCATCATGATTGCAAAGGCCACAGGACGTGACCCAATCCTCCGTGCCGTCATAGACGCCGTTCAATCAGGCAAGTGGCATGAACTAGCCAAGCATCCAAAGGTCGACACTGACACATTTCACACATACGAACGCCTCAAAGATGAGTTAACCGTTGGAACAAAATTAGTGATTCCAAACAAGCTACAACGTCGCGTCGTGGACTTGGCTCACGAAGGTCACCAAGGCATTACCAAAACCAAATCCCTACTACGAGAGAAGGTGTGGTTCCCTGGAATCAACAAAATGGTCGAAGAACGAGTAAAATCCTGTCTCGCATGCCAAGTTGCAACCCCGGAGGCAGCACGTGAGCCGTTACAAATGTCTACTCTGCCCGATCAAGCGTGGGACGAGATAAGCGTTGACTTTGCTGAACTCTCAACAGGGGACTACCTCTTGGTGGTATCTGACGACTACTTACGCTATCCAATTGTTGAAGTTATTCGTTCAGTGGCAGCCCAAGCTGTAATTCCTAAACTCCAACACATCTTTTCACAATTTGGCATTCCAGGAATTCTGAAATCCGATAACGGTCCGCCGTTCAACTCCGAAGCCTTTGCCACTTTCGCCGCTAATCTGGGATTTACCCACAGAAAGATCACTCCCTATTGGCCAAGAGCCAATGGCGAAGTAGAGCGGTTCATGAGGACGGTAAAGAAGATCGTGAAGATTGCACTTACACAGCAGAAACCATGGCGAGAAGAACTAACCAACTTCCTTCGGAACTTCAGAGCTACACCACACAGCTCAACTGGAAAGGCTACGTCAGCTAGAGTCCTATCCATTTATTTTATTATCCATTCCATAATACAATACATCAACCTTTTTACACAGGTTTGACAGTGAGAAAGCTAAAGTATGGATATTTCTGTTGCAAATTATCGAATAAGAATTGGTTCACATTAAAAGTGCCTATATCACTTGTGGGACCTTTATGGATTCGAATAGAGCGTAAAAAGTTAGTTAATAAGTTCAAAAGATTTTTGTGGCTAGCCCGTTCGCGGGCTAGCCACAATGTAAAGCTGAACGAAGGATGTCAAGATGTGACGGAAATTGTCGTCAACTTCGGAAACTGTCGTTCATGACATGAGATTGCCTGCGATCAGGCCTGAAATAAATAAACATGGATCAGTTCGAGCAACACTGCAGTGTGCTTTGGAATTGGAAATTTGGTATTATAAATGTTCAATATTTCATCAAACAAAACAACGGAGATAAAGATAAACCAATTGTCGACAAAACATCAAAGATGAAGGTATATCAATGTATATCATCGCTATTTTGGTTGACATTTCGGTAATGTTACTAAGCAGCAATATTATTATTGAAAGTGTACCGTATTATTTATAATTAAACCTATACTGGCTATAGATTTGGTGACTAATTGTACACTCTTTTCATATTTAACGAGTGAAGCTTTGATATTGAATTCACCACTAAGCAACTATTGACAATATTACTGAAGTGTAGCGTTTAAAGTAGAAACAATCAAAGTATAAAACAAAGTAGTTACTGATATTTTCTTTAGAATATTCTCGACATATTTCACGTTGGTTTTTAGCAAACCATATGTTTGTTTCACTTATAAGTGGCATTCCTTTTATATGTACTTTATAGTAAGATTTTTATATTAATTGGAAAGTTGTTTATATTAATTGGAAAGTTGACAGAACATTAATTAAATTATGATTGAATATTTTGAAGTATATACTATTAATACGGTAATATGAGTATTATCATTGCAGGTAATTGCAGTAGCAGACTTGCATATACATTCTTTTAATGCATGTTAGCTATATATTAAAGAAAATTAAAACAGAACCAGACACAGTACTAAAATGCGGTGCCCGCCTACAAATAAAACTTTCGGCGTTTCCGCCTACATGCACAAGTAAAGTTATATTTAGCACGCTACACATTTTCCTGTCGGCCGCCATTTGGTTCGTACGTTAGGATCAAAACTGCGTTTTAAAGCCTTCAAAATAAAATACTTTGAGCTCAAAATACTATCAAAATGAGGAGAAAAGTGAGACGAATCCACTTGCATACGGCCGAAAACGAGAAAACCAACAATTCCGAAGTTATCAAGTATCAAACGGACTGCATTTTTATAATTAGTTTAATCATTTTGAGCGTTTGTCAACAATACAATTTCGCTTATTAAAACTGTACATTAAAACCTTCAAATTATAATATTTTGGGCTCAAAATACTAACAAAATAAAGAGAAAAGTGAGACGAATCCACTGGTATACGGCCGAAAAAGAGAAAACCAACAATGCGAAAGTTATCAAGGTCAAATGTATTGCAATTTTAATTAGTTTAATCATAGCAGCCCAAAAATGCGTGTTGAAATTTTTACCCTCGCGCGTGACGCTCGGGCATGCATCGAGTCTACTCAGTTTATTATTATGACTGAAAACACTCGCCCGTCGGGCATCGTGTTTCCACAAAACTCATTATAGTCTTTATATCAACGCCGAAAGATGTTTTATAATTCTTAAATATTCACGATACCGCCATAATTTTTTAAAATTCAATACAATACAGACATTGGGCTGCTGTGTTGTGATATGAATTCCAATTTTCTCTCCCAAACGAGAGGCTAGCCACATGTACGCAGTGCGTACCTATTTTTTTGATTTAGTGCAATAATTTCGAAGATACAGGCTTCTAAACTACCTACAGTTCCTGACTCCCAGGCTCCTATTGACAATGGACAGTTTCGAAAAAGGCCAAATTCAATAGCCTTGTTTAGACCCCAGGAGCCTGGGACTCAGGAACTGTAGGTAGTTTTAGAGGCCTGTATCTTCGAAATTATTGCACAAAATCAAAAAATCTTTTGAGCTTATTAACTAACTTTTTACGCTCTTTTCAAAGCCATAAAGGTCCCACAAGTAATATAGGCACTTTAGTCACATATTAACTTTGTGCAAGCCCTGGAGCCGGTTGTATAAAAACGTAATTAGCGCTAACTGTAGTTAGCGTTAATCACTGTAGTTAAATCCTTAACTGTAATCCCCGAGCCGACGGCCGGAAGCGCCGTGCGAGGGTACTAATTCCCCCCCAGCTATTTACACCCCGGGAAACGAAAGCATTAGCGGAGTCTAAAGTTCATCAAATATCGCGTGCGTGGGTGACCAACGGTGTTGGGTGGGTGGTCATCCTCACTGATCTCAATAATAGGGCAGACTGTCACGAATAGCGGACACTGATTGGTCCGTTTGCATTATAACAACTGCATGACGACAGCGAAATACCAAACATTTCTTGAGTTGATTTGATGATTGGGCTATTCCATTTAATTAAAAGACGTAACCCCCCTATCGAGGACAAGGTTTTTTTTTACCATATCCCTGAAGAATTCCTGACATAAAAGACATGCCTGAAGAATTCCTGTTAAATCATAGCATTTAACTCTGAAGAAATCAGCATTTACCCCTGAAGAATTTCAATTTTTACATCTTACCCCTGGGGAAATCTCATTCAAAATAACCAACCCCTGAAGAATTTGTTTTACTAAAAATGTTGTTCACTCCTATACAAACGCCACTTTTAACTAGGTTTTGGACAGTTAACTATACCCTTGGGCATAGTTAACTTTAACTACTTTTTAACTGCAGTTCAGGCTAACTACACTTTTATACAACCGGCTTAACTACGTGATTAAAGTTAACTATTTTTTAACGCATTTTAACTACTTTTTAACTGCAGTTAGCGCTAACTACGTTTTTATACAACCGGCCCCAGAATTCTATATGTTTCAACTGAAAGTATTAAGTATGGCGTTCCGTTACGGACAATATTATACACTTAATGTCTGCTCCCGAGGGAAATAGTTAGTTTTGTTTTCTCGAGAATCTCAATGTTTCCCGAGACGAAGTCGAGGGAAACATTAAGATTCGAGGGAAAACAAAACTAACTATTTCCCGAGGGAACAGGCATTAAATGTTTTGTTATATAGCGACGAACAAAAATCAACTTCAACAACATTCATACAACAATTGTATTTCGTGACAAAAACTCTATAGTGTAAACGAGTTTAAAATTAAAAAAACCTACTTAAACGGTTTCAGCAGCATATCCTGTTGCCTGATGTGTATTTTTCTTCTCTTTTATATTCTTTATTTGAACACAAACTTGGAAAATCGTAGTTTCTCATTATCTGAGTTGTGCCGCCATTTTGTTTATTTATGTACGTGGCCGGTCGGGGCGGGCAACAATAGAGACCTTAAGATTGACGTTTACGGCAAACGTCAAACCGCTAGCGAAGTTTTTGATTTTACAACTCTATTATTATAGCTTTCACACCAGTTTTGAAATAT